CCCCCCCCCCCCCCCCCCCCCCCCCTTTACTGCCTTCTTAGAATCCCGTGCTTTTGCACTTGATAACCTCAATGCCTGATGGAAACAATATTAATCGATTTTTACTTCTGATACATTGTAAAGATTATGTGTAGCATGTGTTCATTGCACTACAGTAAAGTATGGAGGAGAAACAGCAAGTATACAAGTCGTCATCCATGTCTTCCGTGAACGGGACGAGTGCGGGCGGTCGTCGAGCCAGCCTCACCCTCGGTGAACTTGAAGTTGTTCCCGAAGCCACGAGCCTGGATCTGGTTCTGGGAAAACATCTCGTAACATCGGATGTACTGGTCCGTAACGGAGCGACGTGCGAACTTCATCGCCTCCTCGAAGTGTTCTTTGCATGATTGATAAGCAACAATTCACGAAGGAGAAATGAAGAGCGACAAACCGGGTAATTTCCGGGACGGGGTCGCCCGACGGCCATGTTGTCCTTGCCCGCTGCCTCATCCTTTTTCTGTTCCCGGACCCTGCGGATGTCGGCGTCGATGATCTTGTGGATCGCCAGCTTGGCGGCGTGTTGGCAGATCTCTGTGAGATTGGCACCAGAGAAACCGTGAGTGCTCTTGGCCAGGAAGTCGAGGTTGACGCCGGCGGAAACGGGTGAATTCTTGAGGCACGCACGCCTTGAGGATGGATAACAGTGACGGCTCGTCGGGGAGCGGGATGTAGATCAGTTGGTCGAGACGTCCCGGACGCAAGAGCGCCTAGTCGATCCGGTGGGGCCTGTTCGTCGTGCCGTCGATGAAGACGTTCTTTCTTCGCGTTCATCCCATCCATCTCCGTTGCGATCTGGTTGAGAACACGGTCGCCAGCACCTCCACCGTCGCCACCACCATTGTCGTCATATCCGACGTCCGCGAGGTTGGACTCCTTCTCTTTGCGCTTGACGGAGCCACCCCTGCAAAGACATTGAACACAGCGTTATTTATGCAAAGCCAAGACACATACCAGTTTGGATGTCGATATCTTGGGCGGCAGTGCAGAATCAGAAGGGTTGGTCTTGATGTCCTTGAACCCCACTATCCGTATGCCTCCGCGCACAAAACGTGGAGGCGCTTGCCGTTTTATGTCGAGACACGGGTGCACGCTGATGAGTTCACCGAGCTTGACACGCAGATTGTTGCGGGAAACCTTGTTGACCTGGATGCGGCCGCCTCGACGACTTGTCGGAAAGCAAATGAGGACAGTGTCGCGCCGTTTCTTCACACTATCGCGAGGAATGAACATACGTCTGCGGGCGAATGAAACAAATGCCTACTGAATGACAGACCAAGAACCTCCATGGTTCCGGACCATTCAGCGGCGCAACTTCAGCACTTCAGCACATGAGCATTGCATTCTGTTGGATTCAGGTACCCGAGTGGTCGTCTAGCCGTTTTAGCTGAGCAGCCAATGTCACTGCGAGCACGCCGTAATTGGGCTATGGGACGTGGTTGGGCCAGGCTGAGCTCGGGTTGTGACAAAAAGGGTGGCTTGTATTACTATTAGTGATCGCACTTCAAGTTGAGTCAGAAGACCACGAGCGTTGCAGATGATGTCGGCGTGAGAACTCGTCAGCAATGTACATATGGGAGTACCTAGGTATAAAAACATGTCCCTGGGGTCCTATAGCCATAAACAGTTCGCCTATCATATTTTACTTAAGCCTCGGTGAATAAACCGAAGCTGTCCTGTCCGTGTTGCCATAGTGAAGAACTTTTCGAGAAGCACAGCAGAGTGACCTCAACAGACAGCGAGTCTCGACAATTCTAGCAGTCGATCAGAAGGAGCCGACTTGAGAGACCCGGCAGATTTCGATCCAGGTACATCCAGCACACGCACCTATGTTATGGGCCAACTGTCAATGTTCCAGAGGGCTTCCATATTTCCAGGCTTGACGTTTAATTTCAAATCGGAATTGTTCAAATGTACCGGTGTGCATAACTGGTTGAAAGATAAGACCGCTCGGCGCTTGGAGAACATACGGCCCGAGAGGTTCCTTTAGGGAACGTAGCTGATCAGGCAAGATTCAAATACGGGATTGACAAATCTCTAAAAGGAGACAATGTGTTCAGCAAGGCAGTAAACTGCAGTATAGATCTAGCACAGAAGGAAAAGAAAACATTTGGACTAGGACAAACAGGAGAAAAAAGAAACCGCCGCGATATCCTTCTCGGCCAGGCTAGTACAAGCACCGCGATATCCAACCTCAGCGCGCGACATCCAACAGGGACCTTAGAACGCAATTCCCTCTCGAGCCCTCTGCAGCACCGCATCCACCAACAACCCAGCCAAAATAATGCCTCCGACACAGGGCGTACCCAGAAAGAAGGCCTTGCAGTCCGCGGGACAGTCCACATCCGTGCGCCATAGTCCGCGTAGTAGCAGCCCGCCCGCCATCGCCACGGCGGCGAAGAACGGCCACTCTTGGTGGTTGAGCAGCCCGCCGCAGGTTAGCAGCAAGAGGAACCCAAACGCCGTGGAAGCGCAGAATGCGAGTGCGCGGGAGTTGGAGTTGGAGGCTGAGTGGAAAAGGAAGGCGGGGGAGTGGAGGCTGAGTTTAACATCGTCGAGCTTGTCCTATCGGGAAGGAAAGCGTAACGGAGTATTCGATTGATTGGTGGTAGCGAAGTGTAAATGCGAACTCACTGACCTGATGCTGGTAAATCGTCTCATACGTGAGGGTCCACAGGCACGCGCCGAGGTAAACGGGGACGAGGACGCGCCACGGCACGGTGCCGTCGACGCTGAGGTCCGCCCAGCCCATGAAAATACCGACTTTGAACATCAGACCCTGCGCGAGTTGGATTTTGACTAGTTACAGCGTATAAATGCACTAGACACTTACAAGCGGCACCGGCGCGAGATTCGTCCACCGCTTGCACGTCGGGTAGATGATGTATAACGGCCAGACGGGCATCGATATGTACAACCTGGTGTATTCGATCAACACTTTAGATTTGTAGACATGTTAGAAAAAAAGTAAAAGTTGTACTTACGCGGTTCTGCTTAAAGTCGTAAACGCGAGATACACGCCCAGCACGACCTGCATGCCGAAGAAGAGCCAAGCGCGTGGGAGCGAGATCGCGCCACGGGGAAGGGCACGGTTGCGCGTGCGCTCGACAAGCGCGTCCATGTCATGATCGAGCAAGTCGTCGATGGTCATGATCTGGTTAATAAAAAGTTTCGTTACTTCTTTCCTCAATTAATTCAACGTCGACTGACCAGCGATTTCACGCCAAAGCACAGCGGAACGTAGATTGCTGCGCGGACGAGTGCGGACTGGGCGGAGAGCTCGGGCTGCGCGCGGTAAGCCATTGCGATTGACCATGCTGTTGAAAACGGATTGTGAAGTGACAAAATTAAATTAAATTTGTGGTGAGTGAGAGGACAGTACCGGTAGGTAGCCAAACGACCCAGAATCCGATGTTGTTGTGCAGGCGGCAGAGCTCCCAGCACGCCTGGAGTTCGGTCACTGTTGGGAACGCAAACAGTCGTTGGAGCCCGGCCGGTGTGAGCAGTTGCTGGAGTTTGGTCGCCTTCGGGAGGGTCGCGAAGAGGAGGATGAGTTTGTCAAGAGCGCCAGCGTCGTCGTTCTTGGAGGGAAGTTGTTGAGACTCGGCGAGAGGAATACAACCTACGGGGAGCGAAGCGTCCATAGGTATAGCGTGTGGTTGCGAGTCGCTGGGATACAAGAGGACGTTGAGGGCCGGCAGAGGGTAGGAGGGAACTCGGACGCGTTAAATTTTGTAGACACGAGGAGTCGTTGTCTTTTCGTTTGTTCAGACACAGTCTAGATGCGGAACCGCGATTTCGTACACGCTCCTCTGAGTCCAACACACAGGCTCGCTAAACAAATTCATTTCCACCATAACACACGCACAGGATCAGCGCCAAAATGTACATGCAGGATTGGGATTCGCGATTTGGCGGTGTTGTTCGAATACAACTTCAGGATTCCGGTGGTTCCTCAGGATTCCGGTCGCCTGACCTTCCCGCGAGGGGTGTTGAAGTTGTGTCAGTGCTCCCAGGCGAAGCGGGGGTGGGAGATGCGTTAAAAACGGAGAGAAGCCACAGGCGCGAGCGAATGAAAAAACGCAGAGAAGCTAAGTTCGGAGCGGGCGAATGAGGAAATGCAGGGAAGGTGATAAAAGCGGAAGGAGGACAAAAGGGGACTGAGGAATGAGGCAGAGATGGGATCTGGGCGGGTGCAGATGCCTGAGAAGAAGAAGGTGGGCGGATGAGGCAGGCGGGCAGACGAGGAAAAGCCTGAGCAATATCAATCAATTTAATTGAAAGCAGTTGGCAGGAAGACGGGCCGGGTCCGAAACATAGAGAACCCGAGCCGAGGAGCAATGCCAGTAGTGCAACAGAAAAAAGAGTCCGACGAACAGAAAGACGACGATGGCTAGCCGTGGCGGACAAAAGACCAAAAAGACGAAGAAGGCGGACGGAAAAGGTAGGTGGCACTGCCACCCATCAATGTTGCGCAATCAACCGTGGGAATTCGTGGACGCGGAGTCGAAAATAAGGTTTGAGGGCAAATTGGGGGCTGGACCTTTCTTTGAAGGTGGTCAACAGGCGTCACGACTCAGTGTATGATTCAGGTGGGCGAAGTGTTAGGAAAGATGCGGGTATCATCGGCGGAAGTTAAGTGAGACTGGAACTGAGCTTGAACAATTATTTACTAGAACCCCCTATCTCGAATAGGATAGATAGGATCTTGTTTTGTTTTGAAGCTATTCCGGTAGGCGAGAGTTTGGGTATCGTTCCGTGGGACCGGTCAGAAGCCTATCAACAAAAGCAGACGCTGTGCATCTGATTTTTTTCATCTTTCTTTGGTTGAAGGAATGGTCGCCACCGACAGTTCAACCCTGGAAATGCGCTCGTTACCTGCAGCGTTTCTTACTTATGAACAAAGAAAAAGTCGTGGATGACCGTATAGGAACGGGAATAAAAAGACACATAAGCAGCAGAAACAACCCGACCCCGAGTCGAACGGGGGTCTTCTGCTTATTTGAATGCTGTCGGAAATCCGTAATGGAAGCAGACGCACTTTCCGCTGTGCTATCAGGTTGATAGGAAGGCCTTGCGTGGGGAGGAATAAATACTGGTAGATGCAATAATTGCAAGTTGACTTTGTGCTTTGTGCTTTAATTTCTGGCACGATCAGCTCGTCGTGCGTATGAACGTTTTAAATCACTCAGTCTGTTCATGGTTGCTGCAGTTCTCTTCTCGCGCAGAAACTCCGAGCAAGATTTTTGCAACGATCGGCCCTCCTCTGCAACACCGCCGGACGAATTGCTTCTCAACTAGCCAGCTCTACTGTAGTCTTCGCTGACGGATCCTCGCGCTAATGCGAGTTTACGCCTCACACTCATCATCCAGTTTCCGCCTCCCACTTCCTCCTACTCATTCCGCACATGACGTGTTATTTTACTTATCATTCCATGTTATACTACTTATCACGATCGGGCATCTCGGCGAAGTTGAAGTTCCGTTCAACCGACGTGCACGGCGGGGTGCGGCGCCGGTGGGCCGGTGAGCCGACTTGGGGAGTCGGAGAGAGGGGGAGCGGAAGAGCGGGAGGCTGTGAGAGCGTGAGCGGGATCGGGAAAATAATGAAAGTCGAAGTCGGAGGCAGAAGTCGGGAGTCGGGGCAGGTCGGCGCCGGGCCGGTAAGCCGAGTCGGAGAGTTTGGAGAGCATTAGCGGGAGGCTGTGAGAGCGTGAGCGGGATCGGGAAAATCATGAAAGTCGAAGTCGGAGGCAGAAGTCGGGAGTCGGCGCAGGTCGGCGCCGGAAAGTACAGGATGGGGAGGCGGTGTTGGAGTTGGGCTTGAGGTCGTCCGGTGGAGTTCTTGCGTAGGAGGTTGGACACCGCGGAGCTATTCCAGGAATAATAAGAGGAAACGTGGCGGTGGTGGCGCGTCATTCAGCCGGTTGTTTGGCAGTGCGGGGGAGTGGTTGAATAGTAGCAATGGCATTCGTGATGGACGAGCGATTTAAATGCGAGTTTAAAATCCCTCATAACATGTTGAGATGTAAGCGAGTTCCGCTCTGGATGCGAATTCAAAAGGTTTGGCAGGACATGTACATCGTAGTGATTTGAAGAACAATTTGACTCAACTGGGGATACAGACGATGTACATCGACTGGTGATGAAGTCTAGATGGGGGTTCAGACCTCAGACAAAGTAAAAGCGTGATGGATGAACCTCGGCGGCATTGTTCTCGCGTCATAAGAAAAGGGGGTCGGACGCGCCGACGTAAATGATAATCGAGCCTGCAGTTTGAATTCAATACATAGGCGTTGAAAGTTTCGAATTACATGCATGCATGCCGGTGGGTGGATGCACCGAGAAAGCCCATTGCAGGTCAAGACTCAGGGCGTCTTAGCTCCCTGATATTCGGTCCGCGGCCCTTCGCTCAAGTCCGACTCCTCTCCTCACTCAATTGCAAGTCATTCTTCGGGCTCGGGCTCGGCCATCTCGGCGATGTTGAGATTCCGGTTTCGGTGGTGCGACTGGCCGGTTCGCTCGTTGGCCGGATGGCCGACGGATGGGAGGCGCAGCGGGAGCGAGGATGAGTGAGTTCGAGTTCGGGAAGGAGTAAGTTCGAGTTCGAGAAGGAGTCAGAGGAGTTCGAGAAGGAGTCAGAGGACAGAGGCGGGAGTCAGATTCAGAGGCGGGAATCGGAATCGGGAGTCAGAAAAGTCGGAGGCGGGACTGAGCCTGAGTTGACGTCCAAAGCGGAGTCAGAGGAGTTGCATTGGAATGAACCAAATAAAGTGGCAGGGCGGAGGCGGGCGGAGGCGAGGTGGGAGTCAGATTTAGGAGGTGGGAGGAGGTGGCGAGTTGCTTGGGCGCGATGCATATATATATCGAGTTGAGCTGTGAGCACCGAATTTGACTGGGGAGATGCAGACATGCCTACTTGTACATACTTACATGGCGATATGATACATCAGACAGCATCAGACCCGAGGTGGGGACGGAGGCGGAGGCGGGGAACCTGGATTGGGACGGAAGAGTATCATGGAAGTCTATGGAAGAAGAGGGAGAAGGGCGTTGTTGTGATACGCGCGCGGAGAAAGAGGAAGAGAAGGAGAATGAGAAGGGGATCTGCGTCGCGTGGGAGCGTGGGGGAGCGTGGAGACTGGCAGAAGGGAAGGGAGGGAGAGTTGCGACGCGTCGTGTTGGAATATCAACACTAGCGCGTCGTGTGTGTTGGAGGTTCACATCGCGTGAGGAGGGTTGCGACGCGTCGTGGTGGAATTTCGCCGCAGACTAGCGCGCAAGGAGATGTCCAGGCAGGTTCGCCGCGTCGCGGTGGAATGGCTATGCAAAGAAAAGTTACGGCGCGTCGGGGCTTCGCAGGCTAAGTTGTATGGAGATGTTACAGTTAGCGGTTAGTTACGGCGCGTCTTCAAGTTCTCAGGCTCGTATCTGGCTGGGTGGGTGTATGGATGGACGATGAGTTGAATGTAAACATGGAGGACGAGGAATCGAATGCAAAAAGGACACTTGAAAGAAGAGTAAAGGGTGGATAATGGGGGGATTCGCGAGGTTGAGGAGTGAACGGAGAGATTCGCGAGGCTAAAGAGAAAAGACAACGCTAACGGTAAAGGCTGAGAGAAAGGTAGAAACGCAGAAACGCAAATGGTATAGAAGAAACGCTGTACGTGAACGCAAACGGGGAAGTGGAACCAGGTGGAATAAAGAATAAAGAGAAATAGAGAAAAGGTTGTTGAACAGAGTGGCGTCTGTGCTCGTGTGCAGGGATGCAACTCCAATTCAAAGCACCAAAGGTGTTTGAGTTACGAAGAACGTCAATTGCCACTCGAAGAACGACCATTGAAAGCCACGGTGGAGTTTGAGAGAGCCTTTGGAACAGGCTACAATCTGAGTTGCTACCTCAGTGGATTAGAGTGATCGACGTTTCGGAATCGAATCGCGATGGCGATCGTGTTCGTGTCAAATGTATACGATCGCGTTCGACATATTCAGTCGTGGAAGATGTGTTGAGGTTACTTCGCCGAAGAAAGGTTGTTGGACAGAAGAAGGACGGGAGGTGCGATTCGTTCCCTCCTGGGTGGCGTTCGGTGGGCCTGTGATTCTGTACGATGCAGGGTTGAAGGCGTTTGGGCGTTTGGGCGCTGGAGTGGCGGAGAGAGAGCAACGGGGGATAAGTAGCGAATTGGAATATCACATTCTGCGATTGTGTTTACAGTTGGGCGTTTCAATGCTTTACGGGTGTGTATGTAAAGCGTTGTGGTGGGTCCGCGGGGTGGGGTGTTCTGCGAGTGGCTCGGAGTGGACAACGAGCGAGGAGGGGACAGGACTGGGAGGAGGTCGAGGCGGTGGGATACGCCCAAAGGGAAAATTTAAATTATGAGATTGATGGGAGGTGTGATGGATTGTGGCAGCCCTGAACAATTTTGCCACGCGAGCCGCACCCGACGCTTCCAACCAGGGACCCATGCAAGTTGAAGGCGGGCGTTGAGCGGGGGGATGAGCAGTCTATACTCGGAATAGCATAGAATAGAGCAGAAATGTGACTCTGTTGTGTCGACGGAAGAAGTTTGGAAGGGACCGAGGCTGACCAAGCGTGGTATGCCCTGACCAATAACAACACCGCGTTTCCCGCTTGTCCTTGTCCTCCTCCTCCATCTCCTCCTCCCCCACTCCGCATCCCACACACACCGCAATGTCGCACCCAATCGCGCTGCCAGTCGCGTCGCAGCAGCAGGACTACCCGATGGACGGCGGCTCCTACACCGGCGACGACGGCACCTTCAACCCCGCAAGCTACACTCGCCACTTCCTCGGCTCTCCCATCTCCTGGCGCGCAGGCTCCTTTGGCGCACAGTACGTCGCAACAAGCCAGTCCCCCACCGCAATGCTCATGGGCTCGTATGAGTGAGTGGTGCTTGATATTCATTACCAGCAGCTAATAATTTACACGCAACCAGCCCAAAATCCCCCGCCGACTCGTCCCTCGTCAACGCATGGACAGTATTTGACCGCCAGGGCGAGCTCTGCCGCAACTACACCTGCTGCGGGACCCACCTCCCCGACCTCCACGCCCTCCTCGAGCACTTTGAAGAGGTCCACATCGTCGTCAAGGACCGCGCGTCAGGCCAGCCCCCCGCCATCCAGATCCCCTTCAACCCCCAGATGCACCCCCCCGACAGCGCACCCCCGACGCCGCACCTAACGCACCAACAGCCTCGCCAAATCGTACAACAACAACAACAACAGTACAGCACGCCGTTCGACACGGACGATATGGATTTGGGGCTGGACGACTATGATGAGGAGGCGAGCCCGCCGCCGCCGAGTACTGCGCCCACCAGCACCGTCACCTCCCGCGCGCCGTCCCCCTCGCCCATGTCGCCTTCTCCTCTCTCCCATTCCCTCTCCGCCGACGCTTCGTCGTCAAACAACACAGGCCGCCCCAGCCTCAACATCTCCCTCAACGTCGGCTTCCCCGGCATGCACACCCACACGCCCCTCTCCGCCCGCGCGACCCCCGCCCCCTTCAGCGCCTATGCGCGCTACTCTGCTGCCAGCGGCGACCGCTTCAATATCAACAGTGCAGAGGGGTATGGGAGTGGCAGCGGGTACAGCAGCCCGGACGTCGCGGACTATCCGAGCGAGGCGATCGCGCCGGCGTTGGTGTTTGCGACGGGGGAGGAGCTCCAGGGGAGTGCGAGTCCGCCGGTGAGTCCGGGTGTGCATTCACCTACTTCGCGCAACTCCCCTTCTGCGCATGCGTCGCGCTCCTCGAGTACGGGTGCCCACGGGCACGGACACGGACACAAGAAACAGCGCGCCTCGCCCCCTGCGCGTGGGGGGACGCCCACCTCCGGCTTGAACTCGCCCGCGCTGAGTGTTGGGCCGGGTATGCCGGCGGCGGCGACGACGAGTGCGGTTAGTGCGGTGGCGCAGCGGGGGTCCTCATCCTCTTCCTCCAAAAACTCTGGGAATGTGGGTGTTGGTGGTGGAAAAATCAACGTTGGAGCGAATGGAAAAAGTAACGCGAACGCGAATGGGCTCGGTGGTGCGGGGGAGAGT